TTTGTATTTATTAGTCTGTTCTTCTACTTATAGGCATTTAAGTGCTTTCTGAATGCGGGTCTAATACAAAGCATGTTGCTATGAACATTCCTGTATATGTATGCAGGTGCACGTGCTCACACATATTTCACTCTGGGGGAGATTCCTGCATGGGAGCTCGGGTAAGCATGTGCTCATTTGGTAGATATACCAAACACCATACCTTCCTGAGTGTGTAAGAATCTCTGAGCTTTGATTGTGGCCATTTATATTTTAAATTCACAAGAACACTCCAATGTTATTTGACAGAACAGTTACCTTGCCTCCACACTAGAGAGTAAATGTATTGCTTGATTGATATATAATGATCAATTTTGTCTGAACCTTATATGCAATATACACATTGACTTAGGAAATGGCTTTGTTTTCTATTTAACCTAGATTGCTAACTCCAGGTAAGCACAAATACAACATGGCGGGAGAAAAATTAAATTCAGAAAACTTTTTTCTTCAATTAATGTGTCTCAGATTTTAATTTATCAACTTCTTAGAGCAGCTCTCTTTTCTGTCTTTCTCACATTGACCTCTTTGAAGAAGCCGTGAGTGGTGATCTGGTTCTCTGAGTGTTGGGGTCCAACCCCAGCAGGTCCAGGGGTTTCCAAAAGTGTGGATGGAGTCAGTGAAGAAGGAATGACATGGAGACAGTGTTCAGTTGATCAGCAGTTTAGCCAGGTTCTCTAGTCAGGTTCTCCAGCCAGGTTCTCTCGCCAGGTTCTGTTCTTATTGTCTGTTACATCTGTATTTATACCAGTTGATTTTAATCCTATCCATTCTATTCCAAAGGTTAGGGCGTTTGTTAATCTAGTTCTGTTGAGTTTAATCCTGTCTAGGTTAATCTCTGTGTTAAATTATAAGAGCTATTCCAAAATCACTGCTCTACTGATAAGCTACAAGGAAGTGACTGAAGGAGATTATCCTACCTGGTAAAGGTTATGTCCTCCCAGCCCCGCTGCTTGCCTTCCCTGGGACTGCCCTGTGCCAGTGAGTCTCCAGGGGTATAGGCTTTGGTGCTTTCCCTGGTGGGCAGATCCCTGGGGATGTGGGCCCAACAGGTCCCAAATTTATTGCCAACAGTCTTAGTCCACGTTCTTCATAAGTAGTACATGGTATTTCTGTAACACTAGGGCGTTTCACTGATTTATTCTCTTCCTTAGTCCTGTTAATCCCTAACTCCAGGGAAAAAATCCTCACCCGGGGAAACAACCTTTCTCAGGGAGGTGGTCTTGTTTAAAACACATAGCACTAAGAGGGGGAGCAAACATATTAAGAACAGTATGCCATATATGCCAGGTCCGTTGAAACATGCTGTGCAGATGTTTCTTCCCTGCAGCGACTGTGTCAAGCAGCAAGGATGGATCAGCTTCCAAAATCTGAGAAATGATGGAGAGATTACCAAATTTGATCAAACCACTTGAATTTAGCATTTAGTGGCTTTCAATAAGTGTTGGTTTCTTTATTCAAAAAACTGTAAATCAGTCTAGAATCTTTATTATTAAACTCTTCCTGATTAAAAGAAAATCTATGGAATGTATTTTTATCCCTCATTATTGGACCATCCTTGACCCTTTTCATGATAAACAAGTACCCAGAGGAAAAAAAAAAATCTACAATCCCTTTCACACTATATTATCCATACACACACACACACAGAATGGGACTTTTTCTTTGTTGCTGTTTCATGTCGAGATTTGTAAGAAAACAGGGGGCAAATTTCATGAATGCAGAATTATTTCAGACCCTCAACAGCTATAAATTTTGATGAAGTTACATTCCAAGACATTTAAAGTGGGAAACTAACGAAAAACCTACAGAAATAGTGGTGTAGCCATCACTGAGAAGAATATGGAGTAAATTCATTTTGGTTTCTAAAGATAGTGACATCAAAGTTGTTTGGAACTGGGGACCCTGAGAAAGAAGATACCTACCAAGAAGGACTCCGGCTGGCTAAATAGACTCAAATTTATAAGACAGACCCTTGTAGCCATTGCTATGGGATGAGGGGAGGGGAGGGGGGGCTCACCAGGAGGGCACTTCAAGGAGAAGACTGCCCTGAGCTGCCTGCCTGGACTGTGTTCCTGCATCTGAGCCAGCCCTTAGGAGTCCTGAGAATATATTTCAATCTTTAAGACTGAGGCTTTCCCCATTCAATTGGAACTGTGCACTTCTATCCTTATCTGCATTTTCAATAACCAATCAGAGCAGCTCCATTCCGACCAATTAGGACAGTGCTTTTTGGAGCAATGAAACTTTGAGGACTTGGAGTCTTCCTTTGCATGAGGATGGAGCAATCAGAGACCAGTGGTGGGGAATTCTCTCTATTTAAGCCAGCTTCTTTCTGGTTCTGGGAGCACACTTTCTCTTTCCACTCAAGATTGTTTCCTGGAGAAACAGGAAGAGGGAGATGGGAATGGAGCAGGTGGAGCAGAGCAGAGCAGAGCAGAGCTAGCTAGCCAGACAGGACCACCTTGCCACCTGCTGCTTCATACTAGTAACTGAGCTGTATCACAATTGAACTGTTTGCACTGAATAAAGTTTTCTTCTTCACTGCACCCTAAATTGGTGATTCCTGGTGGCATTGAACTGGCACCAATGACCATCAGCTGAAAGGACTGTTTTATCTTATACTGGAGGTCCCTCCCCACTCCACAAAACAAAAAGAAAAACACAGGAAAAGAAAACCATTTTGGAGTATATAGATGAGATTCAGAGGGGCTAGTTTGCTCTGTAAGAGGTGATACATTATGTCATCTCAGTGATTCACACTTAGGCAAGACCTAGGCCATCAGGTCCTTGCCAGACCTCTGAGTTCGCCTCAACTCAAAAAGTTGCTCATCTCCTGAGTAATCCCCCTTCATCTAGGATTCTACTGCCAATGCCCAGACTCCTGCTGTGCCTGTCCTGCTGCCCCACCCTGCTCGATCTGCAGCTCTGCCACAGCACCCCACCCCCCAGCACCACCCTTCTCTCTACCCCACCCCACTCCACTCCACCCCATTCCTCCTCCTGCAGGTCAATAGCTGCACCCACCTCAGGGACCTGTTTGTACTGCAGGCATCATCAGATTCCAAGCCCCTCCCAGGCTGAACCCAACTCAGGGACTATATAAGGACTGTGCCTGAGGCTGCGGGCATCTCCAGATCAAGAGTCCCTCCCAGGAGCAGCAAGCAAAGGGTGAGATCTGGGCACCAGGCCCATTAGGGAAGTGGGACTGATCCGGTGAGGCTGCCCAGGGCTGGAATCTGCCAGCTGCCTACTCCTGGCTTTGCCTGGCCTTCAGTGGCCTGGGTACCCACAGCCCCTGACCATTCTCTGGGATTGCTGCCTACACTGCTCATCTGAGCAGGAGGCAACACTGGAAACACCCTTCCCCCAACCCTCTAATGGGCCAGGGCGTGAGGGCCAGCTGGCCTGTGATGGACTGGACTTATCCTTTGGCCTGAAGCCAGAGTCAAGCCTGAGATCATAATATTTTTATTCCTTTCTCAACTCCCTGCCTCCCTGAGCAGTTTGTGACAGTTTTTAGGCAGCCCAGGAGTATAGCATTTCATTGCTGAAGGGGATGGGAGGGAGGGAGGGAGGGAGGATCAATGTGATCCTAGAGATTACTTTCCAATAACAACAGTGATAATCTAATGCATTACTTACAGGGAGGCAGCTAGCACCACTATTATCCTTCCTTGCCTGTCTCTGTGGAAACAAGCTCTGAGAGGAGTCAGGATTGGTAGCTGGCTTCTGAGCTGAGGTGGAAGGCCAGACACCTGCCCCTGAGGGGTGGGTGTCAGAGAGGATGCTTGTCCCCTCCTCCTGGTGGGCTGCACCGCGACCCTAAGGCCTGTGCTGGGTTTTCCAACTCTCACATCCTATAGCAGCCTCAGGACTTGGGACACTTCACCTCTCTAAACGTTAGCAACTGAATCTTGGAAATGAGGAAAATCTACCACTTTGCTGAAATTTGCTTTAATGCGGAGCAGTCAGCTATGAATTTCTAATAGAGAATTATCATCTCAGGTAAAGGGTGGGAATGTGTGTGCTCCCCAACTGAATAGGAAAGGCCCAGTCCTGGCTGCTGAGTCTGCAAGTCAGAGCCCTCTTGGCTCCCTGGGTCCTGGCCCTGGGTCGCTGATGGAGCCTTGTCCAGTTCCCACCTGTGTGCTCATGAGACAGTGCTCTTGTCCTCCTGGAAAAAGAAAAGGAAGTACAAGTTTCTGGGTGTTTCAGGGCGAGGGGGATGTGGAGAAATGTCGTTGCCATATTTGCTGGTGTGCTAGGCCTCTGTCCTGTGTTGTAGCCTCACCATGGAGCAGCTGAGCTCGGCCAACACCCGGTTCGCAGTGGACCTCTTCCGCACCCTGAAGGACAGCAACCCCTCTGGGAACATCTTCATCTCCCCCATGAGCATTTCCTCAGCGCTGGCCATGGTCTTTCTGGGGGCCAGAGGCACTACCGAGGCACAGATGTCCAAGGTCAGCAGAAACTAACAAAAGAAGTGTGGGTTCCCTGCAAGTCCCTCCTAAAAAGGTGTGCCTCTGAGCTCTTACAGGGAGCTTTAAACACTGTGCTTGTGTGTTCCACAACTACACACGATGAGGCCAGACTTTCAGAAAAGCCCCAAGAGCATTTCATTTATATGCAGGCTTTCACTCATGATTGAGTTTTTACTGAGCTCGTACTATATGCCAGGCCTGGCACAAGTGCCTGTGTGGGTAGGGGGGCCTGAAGCAGAGGAAAAAAGTGAGGTGTGTCTGCTGCAGGGACAGGGCCAAACCCTGGGTGGTATGGCAGGTCCCTGTTACAGGGAGAAGAAGCAGTAATGCCTAGCCCTCCACCTGGCCCTCATGGGTGTGGGGCCCACCACTGTGCTGTGTGGTCTTTGTTGAATTCTAAGAGGGGAACTCCCGCTCTCCTTGAAAGTAGGGGAAAGATTACAAGGTACCAGTTACTGGGGAAGGTCCAGCTTTGTATTCAAGTTTATCCATCTGTTCTAGCTGCAAATAGTTTATTTCCACACTAGAGCCCGGTGCACAAAACTCGTGCACTGGGAGGTTGGGGGGTGGGGTTTGTCCCTCAGCCAAGCTTGCATCCTCTCCAATCAGGGACCCCTCAGGGGATGTCCAAATGCTGGGTTAGGCCCAATCCCACAGGGACAATCCCTCTCACACTCGGGGACCGCTGCCTCCCAACCGCTAGCCTTCCTTCCTCCCTAATTTCCTCTAACCCAGCTGTGGGAAAACTACGGCCCGCGGGCCAGATCCAGCCCATTCAGCTGTTCTATCCGGCCCGCGGAGCCGAAAGAGCGGAGGGTTCTCTTGCTCTCCCCTCCACTCCTTCACCAGCAGCAGTGTTAACATAGCAATGTCGGGAAACACTCCTGCAGCTCCTTCTTCTGAGTCCAGTTTAAGAACCCATTGTGGCCCTCGAGTCAAAAAGTTTGCCCACCCCTGCTCTAACCGGTTCTGCCTGCCAGACTGATCGATGCCTAACTGCTCCCCAGCCAGCCTGATTTCCCCCAACTCCCCTCTCCTGCAGGATGAATTGCCCCCAACTGCACTCCTGTGCAGGTCTATCCCCCCCCCACCCCCTAACTGCCCTCCCCTGCCAACCTGGTCAACCCCAAATGACCTCCCCTGCAGGCCTGGTTGCTCCTAACTTTCTTCCCATGCCAGCCTGGTCCCCCCAAACTGCACTGCCCTGTATGCCAGGTCTCCCCCAACTGCCCTGCTGGTGAGTTTGCTCCCAACTGCCCTCCCTTGCCTGCCATCTTGTGGTGGCCATCTTGTGACAACGTGGGCATAGCAATCTTGTGACCACTTGGAGGTGGCCTTGTGACAACATGGGTGTGGCCCTCTTGTGAGCACCTGGGGGCGTCCATCTTGTGCAAGGGCATGATGGTCAATTTGCATATTTCCTTTTTATTACATAGAATTATATGAAAATCCAATGGTCTGTACAACTTCAGAAATGAAAGCATTTTTATATTTCCCAACACCCACTTTTTATTTTATCCCCTGGTAATAATAGTAGCTTCCTGCAGGGTAATGTCAGCTTCTATTTTGAGGTTGATCAGGAGACTGTATTACCTCAGCAAAAAGTCATTTTAAGTGTTCTCCTGCTTTTCCATTAAACCAGATCTATCATAGCAACTGTGCAAACATTCCGTATCTTGGTGTGTAACTGGTCTTTCTACATTGTGTAGGTTCATTCTTTGTGTGTTGAAATAAGGAACCAGCCCAGGACTAATAAGACCATAAAGGGTTCTTGATTTGTAACATGAAAATTAAACTTTTACTGAATGTTAATTTTATAGAGTTATTTTTAAGTTACTGAAGCTGATAGTGTAGTTTAAAAATCCCCTCAATTCTGTAATAACTTTCTGTTCCCACATAAGGGATGATTCTTAATTTTACTGTTAATTTCTGAGAACTTTCAGTAAAACTTTATTTTTGCAGAATTTATATATGAATATACCAGTTATGATTTTCTTTGGCGTAAAAGCAGACATAGATAAATATTAAGCCTATTAACCACTTATATTCATGGGACTATAATTATAAAAAAGTGATATAAAAAGAGCTTCTGATGTAATTATGTCTCACAAACTGATACATTTTAGATTCTTTATTCTTTTGTTCTCCAATGAAAGTTTAATAAAGTATTGAGCTGGGAATTATTGATAATTAGTAATAAAAGCATTAATTTAATCTGATAGAAGCAAATGTCAAGGAATCCGTTTCAAAATAAATGGCTATAGAAGGAATGTTTTCTCTATTTTAGACTCTTCACTTCGATGCAGTTAAGGAGATTCATTCAAGGTTTCAGAGTCTGAATGCTGATATCCACAAGCGTGGAGCTCCCTATATTCTGAAACTAGCTAATAGGTTATATGGAGAGAAAACCTATGAGTTCCTCCCGGTGAGTATTTTACATTCCCATTCTAAAACTCACGAAATAGTGCAGACATTTTCCAGCACAATTAAGTCACAGAAGTCAGTTTTTATTTTTATAAACATTCATAATAAAGATACAGAATTTAAACATATGGCAGTATCTCCATTAATGTT